GCCATTATAGATGTTCCTGGCCAACGTGGTGGGAACATCACAATGTGCGCTGCCATCTCCAATACGCATGGTGTCCTCCACCGTCATGCCAACCTTGGACCATACAACACAGCCCATATTCTCACATTTCTGGACAGACTCCACAACATTCTCATACCACCAGAGCGTATGAATGATGCAGACCATCAAAGAACCCGGTACATTGTAGTATGGGACAACGTGAGCATTCATCGTGCAGCCCCAGTCCAAAACTGATTTGCTGACCACCCACCATTTCTCGTGCAATACCTCCCACCATACTCACCATTTCTGAACCCCATAGAATAGTTATTTTCGGCATGGCGGTGGAAGGTATATGACCGGCAGCCCTTTGTGCGCATGCCTCTTGTGCAGGCTATGGAAGAGGCATGTGATGAGATTGATGTGGGTGCGATTCAGGGATGGATAAGGCACTCAAGGCACTTCTTCCCTCGATCTGGCAAGGGAAGATATTGCCTGTGATGTGGACGAGGCGTTGTGGCCAGACCCAGCTGTGCGGCAAGATGCTGCCAAATTATTTTTCTTACCTCTTTTTTCTTTATTTTTTCTGCACATTTTTTCTGTAATTTTCTTTTTCAGTTTAATGTTTTTTGTGAGCACATTGTTGATCAGTCCAATGTAAATATATCTGCTGTGCATATGTTGCACTGACTTGTTTGGTGAAAAATAAAACAATTAATGTTTCAACAGCGTGTGTGTACCTGAAAATATTTCTGTGCATGTGAACAATCTGAAGAATTTTCTACAATTTGAACTATTTTAGTATTATGGCAAAGCATACTAAAGATGAGAGTGCTTTTCCTTATGCCCAACAGTGTGTAGTTGGTTAGACAAAAATCAGGTAATATGAATGAAGTGTGTGCCATTTCGTGCAAACGTTTGATTTTGATAATGCCATATGTAGTTTTGGTTGCAGTGCTTCATTTTGCAGGATATATGAGGTATTTTGCAGTTTGAGTGTGTGGTTTTGTGAATTGTGTTAAGTATTTTGATAAAACCAGCCTAGTTTGCAAAATTGTGTTTTAGCAATTGGGAAAAACTGTAATACTAATTGTAATTATTTTGCACTATAGCCTATTTATTGCCTTACCTCCATAACTTGCTACATTTGCACACACTGTATATATATTTTCTGTTGTATTTTTTACTTTATGTTTTGTTTTACCCCATATGTAACTCTGTGTTGTTGTTTTTATTGCACTGCTTTGCTTTATCTTGGCCAGGTCGCAGTTGTAAATGAGAACTTGTTCTCAACTGGCTTACCTGGTTAAATAAAGGTGAAAATAAAATAATACAAAAAATGTGAGTGTCCTTGCTGGCTAGACTGGTACTATGAACAGTGGTGCCATTTTGTAGGTGTAGCAGATCACATGACTGCATTGCTCTGCATCGTGATTGATGGTGTATTAGATGTGTTTGTGAATCCACACAAATAATGAGTTTTGTTTTTAACTGTAGAGAATCGTATTGGTCAAAAGAAGCAGACAAAGGATTTTCTTTGTCTGAGTTGTTGCTAGAGCAACGCTATCATGTCTATCTACTCAGCTTCCAAGGTGTTCATCAAACCAAACAGACATAACTGCACCGATGTCACCATGATTTCTCAGTGGAGTAGTAAAACACTGCAGTACTTCCCATCAATCAGCTAGGCTAAGCTTCCATTAAATATAATTGACCAATTAAGGCCTTAGCTATTGCTTGAGCTAACATGCAGTTTCTGTGCCTCCCTTCTCTTCCATGTCTGCTGCATCACAGATGTCTGTTGTCTGTCTCCCTGGGCTGATCCTCAGAAGATCACATCCTCGCTTCCCTCTGCCCTAGAAGATGCAAAAGCATTGGATTGACAGGCCATGGTTAGCTGCTTTACCAGCATATAAACCAGAAAGAGAGCTGTGCCCACAATGTAAATCTAATCTATCTACCAGTGCTGTTACAGTAAAAGCAGATATTGAAACCGCCAAGCACTTCATATCCCTTCCCATGCATGGATCAATATGGATTGCGTGTATGACACTCAAGCCGAGGTGCACACATCACCATGACACCTCGCCATGGCAACGGTGTCTCTTCTCCCGCAACAGACAGAGAGTGATCCAAAATTAAAACAAGGAAATATTGCCCAACCCACTTATGAGAAAAGAGGAACTCGTTCATGTGGAAATGTAGCCTATAAAAACCACCTCAATGGACTAGACAGCTGTGTGTGTGTGTGTGTGTGCGTGTGTGTGTGTGTGTGTGTGTGTGTGTGTGTGTGTATGTGTATGTGTGTGTGTGTGTGTGTGTGTGTGTGTGTGTGTGTGTGTGTGTGTGTGTGTGGAGATCAGGTAGTGAAATTGAAGTCTATTATTCCGGTAAACTAACTGGTGGTCATGAATACAATGTTGAGATATCTTCCCTAGGTCCCTCTTCACTGTCTGAAGTGAACATGCGCACAAATGGCTGAAAATATATATATCTGTATATTTGCAGTCAGCAACACTGAGGTGGCCCCTGCACATGCCCATGGCTATCCAGATGTGTTATGCATCCTCCAGTTGTTCAGTGCAGATCCCCCCAAAGTGCTGTCACTGTTATTAGTAGCCCAAAAAGCCTTACAGAAACGCAATTTATCCTATTGAGAACTGTCACGATTCAGAGGATCTGCGGTAGCGCGTGGTTGCAGGCGCGATGCGCCGATAACTCCTTGTTGTTTCCTTTCGGTATGGGAATCGTAAGGTTCAGACGCAATCAGCTACTGCACATGCGAAACATAAGGTGTTTAAAGCCTCGGCACCGAGAAGCAACACTGCAGTCAGTCCTGGGCCGTTGGACTGAATGACCCAGTATTTGGGAATTGTGTTAATTATATTTTCCCATTTTTTTTTTTCCCTAAACTGCCCCAATACTAAAAAAAAAACCCAAAAATTTTCCCCTGCTGGCCTTGCCATTAAAAAGGGTTAAACCTATTGTTTTTTCCAATTTTTCCCCTTTTATACATAAACAAACTAAGGAAATTTGCCCTTCCTGTATGGGGGTTGGGTTTGGCCCCGCCCCTCCCTCTTTCATTACCCCCCCTGAACCTAAGCCCCCGACCCCGGGGTTTTAAATTTGGTCCGCTTTAACCCCCCAAAAGTTTTTCCTGGGAATGCCTGCTGCCCGACATTTTTGAAAAAATTTGGGGGGCCCCCCCCAAGCCGGGAAAGGGGGTCCCCCCCCCCCCTCCAAAATTTTTTTTTTCCCCGCCCCCCCCCCCTTTAACCCCCCGCCACGGCCCCCCCCATTTTTTTTTTTTGGAGGGGGGGAGCCCCGAAACCTTGGCATGTTTTTATAACTCCCCCGGCACAGCAGGAGAAGCAATCGCATCATATTGATACAAATAGAGTCGTCTAGTAAATCCACAATTGAAACAAACATGAAAATAAACATTGATGATTTTCTCGTGCATAACAACTAAAATATCTAGGCTACATGAACATGAATTATATTACGCTATTTTTATTTAAATCGGCCTAATAACTGCCTAATAACAATAAAAACAACCTCAATAATAATAACAATAGGCTGGCAATTGCACAATAATAATGAGAATAGGCTATAAATAGGCCTATTGTTTTTCCAATATTATCCAATTATGCATATTCATAATACAAATCATAAGGCTAAATTATGTTTTCCCTCTGCATTGTATGGTGTGTATGGACTTTGCAGCCTCGCCCCTCCCTCTTTCATATAGCCTACTCACCATACCGAACCGTAGGCCCCCGAGCCCACGGGAGTCAGGTTCTGGTACCGCTCGGGAACCTCCCATACAGTCTTGTTCAGCTCCTGCCGATAGTAGCCTGGTCTGGCCGACATTTTTACCGTAAATAAAATGAGCTCTCAGGACTGGACTGATAGCTCTGTCTGCACAATCCGCCGCTGTAACTGTCTCGGACTGAGTGCACAGAGGGGAGCTGCTGGCCGTCTCTCTCTCTCTCCTCTCTCCTCTCTCTCCTCTCTCTCTCTCTCTCTCTCTCTCTCTCTCTCTCTCTCTCTCTCTCTCTCTCTCTCGATATTTCTTAGAAGGGGATAGTGTAAGTAGCACGATGTCTCAGACATGGGGGGTTCTGAGTGGAAAGGGGGGATGAGATAGGGGAGCGATTCCTCTCATTAATCTATTAGGATAGGCTACTGCAAATAATGTTGTTACCCATAGCCTATGTAAACCCCCCCCCCCCCCCCCCCCCCCCCCGCCAAGTTGAAATATTTCAAATTGCGGTAGCCTATTGGTTTCTGAGATGTCAAGTTCACTGTCGCTGTCCATGGTGCTCTCACCCCAGGTTCTCTTACTTCCTTACTCGTTATAAAAGGATTGGTTGAGACAGACTGCTTCAGTCCTGCTTGACATATTCATGAAGTCTATTTAGAGTGGACAACCCCTCTCAAATCTTAGGGTTGGATTACGACATTTTGATTGCTATTGCTCAACCACTCAATACATTTTCTACGAAGAATGACATTTCACAATGATCAAAGTTATATGGATGTTAATTCAGTATTCAGAACAACGATGAAAGGAAATGCATACATCATAACAAAATACCAATATAGTCATTATAACGAACTAGCCATCTCCTACAGTAGGCTACAGAGTTCACACAAGAGTTCAATACTACATTTTCAGTTTAATAATATTTTCTTTTCCTTTCTTTACTTTATTTTTAAACAATCAAATTAGTAGAGTTAGTAACAGTCAAATAGCAATGTCTATGAGTGAACATACAGTATCATTAATTAATATAATCTAATAGTGAAAATGATAAGTAAAAGTAATAAAAGTAGTAATAATAATATTAATAATATTAATAATAGTAATAGTAGTGTAACAATATAATGAATTGGAAGTGCAGGTTCCTTCCAGACAAAGAGTGTGATTGATAGTCTCTCTGGCAGATCAGGGTGGTGTCTGTCTGCAGAATGTCCAGGCTGCCATGGAGAGACCTCTAGTGGAGATCTGTTGAAACATCATATACATGATAAGAGGACATGGATGTATCTTATATGACCAGGCCTTGCCATTATGTTTTGGCTGATTCAAAAGACTATTACTAGTAGAGTGAGTCTAGACTATGTAAAAGAGAGGGAGTTAAAGGGAGTAAAGAGCAGTGCAGATAGTAGCCAACTGTAGAGGGGTGGATGTCTGGAATGTGGGTTGAGCCTTAGTCAATAGGGAGGTATAATCAGAGCATTGCATAAAGTAATACATTGCATAGAGCTTACATGAGAGTCACGACAGTCAATCTCTATTCTGCAGTAAACCATGACAGTTCTATGCAATATTTGTCTATCTGCATCGTTTTGAATGTTCCACCCCACTGAACAAGCTCTAAAATAGGAGCTCCAAAGTTGAGCAACACACCTTCACAGATGAAGGGTAATTCCTGATGACAGGAAGCATCCAGCCACTTCAGTTCTCCATTACCAACCCGGACCATCTTACCACAGTGGTAATTGATGGGGTTGAGGGGGAAGCAGCTGTGCCACTGTCTGTGCTCCACCACCTTCTCAACAGCACTACTGGTCCACAGCCAGGGTGCGGTCCACTCAAAGATGGACCGCTCCAGACCAATCCACACTCCCCCACATGGCAGCTCCACGTTGGCCAGGAGCTGGGTCACGTCAGCCTGCACGGTCTGGTTTGTGATGTGCACCAGGTTGGATGAGGAGCCACGACTTTTACAGAACTCCAGGGCATTGATCCAGCTCTTGGACTCGTTGAAGTAGTGCAGGTAATCTGCATGGACAAAACACAAACATGAAATTGCACACATGTAAATGCAAGTTCATAAACACAATACCACAAATACAAATACACTTACTGCCTTATCTGCCATTAAAAGCCCAACAATTGTCACTTGTACATCTTTGTGCAGATTGGTACAGAATGTAGCTCCATGTCTGACACTCACCAGGATGGAGTGGAGAAGTTGTACTACTGGGGGAGGATGTGGGCTTCCTGTCTGGGGAGGTGGGACCTGATGAGGTCAGTTGTCCACTGGAAGTTGAGGTTGGTGGTGTCGTGGACTGTCCATTAGTAATGGTAGGTGGTGAGGTGGTGGACTGTCCATTAGTAGTGGTAGGTGGTGAGGTGATGGACTGTCTATTAGTAATGGTAGGTGGTGAGGTGGTGGACTGTCTATTAGCAATGGTAGGTGGTGAGGTGGTGGACTGTCTATTAGTAGTGGTAGGTGGTGAGGTGGTGGGCTGTCTATTAGTAATGGTAGGTGGTGAGGTGGTGGACTGTCCATTAGTAATGGTAGGTGGTGAGGTGGTGGACTGTCTATTAGTAATGGTAGGTGGTGAGGTGGTGGACTGTCTATTAGTAATGGTAGGTGGTGAGGTGGTGGACTGTCTATTGGTAGTGGTAGGTGGTGAGGTGGTGGACTGTCCATTAGTAATGGTAGGTGGTGAGGTGGTGGACTGTCCATTAGTAATGGTAGGTGGTGAGGTGGTGGACTGTCTATTAGTAATGGTAGGTGGTGAGGTGGTGGACTGTCTATTAGTAGTGGTAGGTGGTGAGGTGGTGGGCTGTCTATTAGTAATGGTAGGTGGTGAGGTGGTGGACTGTCCATTAGTAGTGGTAGGTGGTGAGGTGGTGGACTGTCTGTTAGTAGTGGTAGGTGGTGTGGTGGACGTCTTGCTAGAGGGAGGTCCAGTTGAAGTAGGGCTGGTGGTTTCAGGGGTAGCAGGAGTGGACAAATCCCCAGTGGTGTTAAGAGGACGTTCATCTGTGTCAGAATGAAGTAGAATACACACATATAAGTGCCTGTTTTCTATCATGTTGATCAATGAAACAAAAACAAAGCACTTACATAAAATATTTCCTAATTTTAAAACTTGGAGTTTCTTTGTGTAGATTCAACACAACGTTGTCATAGATGATGACTGACTGTCAACACTAGTTTGATAACATTCTCACAGGGTTCAACTTACCCCCATAGCACAGGAAAGCTCTTTGAGTAGAACATTTTTCTGGTTGCCATTTTCTGCCATTTTCTGAGTTCAGCTTTACACAGTTTCCACCTCCCATGGAATTGTCCCATTCCTGAAATGGTTCACCACTGGACCAATTCCATGTGTTGTTCTCATTCTTTAGTCCAATCCAGATTTGTTCCTGCTTAGCCACCTCATCAAAGGCTTCCTGTTCTTTCTGGTTACAGATACTCGCCATTTCTCTGCCTTGTATTGTCCTGCAGTCTGTCACAGAATTATTCTGGTCCTTTGGCCCAGTCATCAGCTCATATACCTTCTCTGTTGTTCCATTACCATGATGAACTTATAGGAGGGAAGATGAAAACTGACACATCAGATTTCATGAGACAGTTAATGACTTCGCACAATAAGAAATAAACTTGGAAGACACAGGTGATAACCTAAATTATAAAGTGCTTTGAGATCTGATTAGATGAAGAATACAGTATTACAGTAGGTGTTGTGCAATCAATCCCATTTGTTCAATGACAAGTTGGATTTTCCATTGATGAAAGAAAGTGAGTGAGTGAGTCCTTACCTCGTTGACACATATACGGTCTTGGAGATGCACACGACACTGGTACCCAGTGAGATGAAATAGACAAGACACAGTCATGATCCCTGGTGTGGTCACCAGAGCCATTTCCCCAGTTGAAGAACATGAAGTCCTCTCCATCAGACCACTTCCACTTTTCATTTGGATCAGGCTTCTCTCTATGGAGCCCAATCCACACATCACCATTGAAATTACCCAAAGTGGATTTAATTGCCCTCCAATCCTCTTCTGTTTGTATGATGGACAGGTTTGTAAAGCGCTGTCTGCAGTACTCTTGTACTTCGGTCCAGTTTTTCATCTCAGGGACAAGGCTGTACTTTTGGGCTGAGTAGGTGACTGTTTGAAATACAGAGGAAAATGCTTATCAGACTGCTTGTTGTGTTGAGTGGCGAACATGACCATCTTTAGCTTCCACTATCTATTCTAAAATATAGGCAACACATTCTGTTTGACAGCAGAGTAATATAGAGCATGTGACAGTGGCAAATTGATACATTCGCAAACTTGTTCCAACCTCCAACCAATTTGTTTGATGAATATGGACATGTCCTGTGCATCAATGACTAAAAGTGAATACATAGTAGTGATAGTACTGTATAGTATTCTATAGACTACAGAATATGAACTTCACACATCATTGGTCTGTAAAGGCTCTGTTTAAAGAGCTCTGATGCTTGATGATATTCGATAACTTACACCTTCAACAGAGATGATGGAATAAACAGAAACACAACATGACAGTTTGATATCCATGTCTATGCTATCCTGTTTAATAGGGCCTATTAATGAAGTATACCTCTCTGATCATTAGATATTGACTAGATATTCAATGGCCAAAACAAACTCAAATATACATTAACTGTATGTACTCACCTTTACCACTGCAGTTTCTCAGAGAGTAGCCTGAGGTTGCATGTTGGAGGTGTTGTATTGTAATTTTGGGTGTATCACCAGTTGAGGCCTTCAGGAAACACTTGTTGCTGTGGGATAAATATCACAAAGAATGTGGTAGTAGTTATCAGAATGGTGCTGATCTAAAACATCTATTGCTGCCTTTATTTGCCCAAGCACAAAAAAAGAAGCTTTTTGAGCATGTACCTGTGTTCTGTTATTTCTGCCTTTTCCCCAACAAATGTGAAGAACTGGCACTTGTCATTGTTGGTGCATTTCTGCCTGCACTGACTTGCATTATTGGTTGTAAATGGCTTATTCTCAACATTGTTCCCCAGAAAATCCACTCCATCCAGTAGGTCCCTCTCACAACCTGTAACCAAGACATACTGTATTTCACCACTCAGACCATCAGAAAGGGACACAGGATAAAGCACATCTAGGCAGCAAGAGGACATTACCAGCAGTACAGACTTAGTGAGAGAACACACTGAAACACAATAGTAATACAGAAATACAACATTCATACATGGAGAAGAAGACTTTAAACCTTCATGTTCCTTCCTACTGTAAGGTGACACCTGCACTGAGGAGCAAAACCCATTGATAACCTGTAGAATGTAGTGAGCAACACTTACCTTTGACTACCCTCAGGCTGTAGATTTGTATAAGATCATTGAACCATCTAGGGACATTGACTGTGCAGCAGTAGCTCCCACTGTCTGCAGGCTGAATGTTTAAAATGGTGAGGTTTACTGTTCCATCTCCAGCATTAACTTTATATTTGGATTGCTCTTCCTTTATGGGATCAGTACACTGAAAGGTTCCACTTGCTCTGCTCCAGCATTTGTCAAGCTTTTTAGCCCCAGGGTATGTACAGACAAGGGTCACAGAGGTTCCCTCCAGTACTGATATCTCAGTCCCAAACACTGGTGAGGACATGGCTGCTGTGGGGATAAATGTCACATCAGAAATATGTTATTTTTGGGATGGTCAATCTATTTTTCTGTTCAGATTGTGACACCAACACCAACCGTAGGACTTGTATTTCAACTTCATAATCACTGTACTAAAATAGAACTGTAGATTTCTGTAGATTGTATGTTAAATATTGGTTGAACTGAGACTCATTGTGTGTAACTGGATGTTGACAGGTTCTGAACCATTACCCAACTATTTTGAATACATGGTCAACTAGAGAACAGCCATAGCAGGTTGGTTTATAACACCAAGAGAGAAACATTCTTCCCATCTGATCTCTTACCCAATAGCAGGAGTAGAAGTACTGGCTGTATCATGGCCACTGTGAAGAGATTACATGGTTTAAAGCTAGAATCCTTAATTGAAACAACAACAAAGTGTAGACCCTGCCTCTGTTGTGGTTAACAGCTGAGGGATGGGCCTGAAGAAATGCAACAATAGACAGAGCTATGGATGCACGACTGACCATCCATGATATTACATTCATATTTTAAACCATGTTTTAAGGCTATATAGTGTTTGTTTACATTTACATTGTTTACAAACATTTGAGCAAAACATGCTTATATTATGGGTTCTGATAGGGTACAACAGTTGTACTAAACTCATGAGGCATTAATAAGTTATATTCTTCAAGAATCAATGGGCATACAGTGCCTTCAGAGAGTATTCACACCCCTTGACTTTTCCCACATTTTGTTGTGTGTGTAGATTTTTTCTGTCACTGGCCTACACACAATACCCCATAATGTCAAAGTGGAATTATGTTTTTCGTAACTTTTACAAATTAATAAAAGCTGAAATGTCTTGAGTCAATAAGTATTCAACCCCTTTGTTAGGGCAAGCCTAAATAAGTTCAGGAGTAAAAATGTTCTTAACAAGGCACATAATAAGTTGCAAGGACTGTGTGCAATAATAGTGTTTAACATGAACTTTGAATGACTACCTCATCTCTGTACCCCACACACACAATTATCTGTAAGGTCCCTCAGTCCAGCAGTGAATTTCAAACACAGATTCAGCCACAAAGACCTGGGAGGTTTTCCAATGCCTTGCAAAGAAAGGCACCTTTTGGTAGATGGGTACACATTTTTAAAGCAGACATTGAAGGAAGGAAACCGCTCAGGGATTGGCCAATGGTGACTTTAAAACACTTAGAGAGTTTAATGGCTGTGATAGGAAAAGACTGAGGATGGACCAACAACATTGTAGTTACTCCACAATACTAACCTAACTGACAGAGTGAAAAGAAGGAAGCCTGTACAGAATAGAAATTGTGCGCCGCCCCATGTGTCTCCCGGTCGCGGCACGGCTACGACAGAGCCTGGATTCGAACCAGGATCTCTAGTGGCACAGCTAGCACTGTGATGCAGTGCCTTAGACCACTGCGCCTCTTGGGGACTGCATCATGTTATGGGTATGCTTGTAATCGTTAAGGACTGGGAAGTTTTTCAGGACAAAAAATAAACAGAATGGAGCTAAGCACAGGCAAAATCCTAGAGGGAAACCTGGTTCAGTCTGCTTTCCACCAGATTAATTCACCTTTCAGCAGGACAATAACCTAAAACACAAGGCCAAATCTACACTAGAGTTACTTACCAAGAAGACAGTGAATGTTTCTGAGTTTCAGAGTTACAGTTTTCACTTAAATCTGCTTGAAAATGTACTGCAAGACCTGAAAATGGTTGTCAAGCAATGATCAACAACCAATTTCAGAATTTTGAAAATAATAATGGGCCAATGTTGCACAATCCAGGTGTGGAATGCTCTTAGAGACTTACGCAGAAAGACTTACAGCTGTATTCGCTGCCAAATGTGATTTTAACATGTATTGACTTAGGGTGTTTAATACTTCTCTATCTAATCAAGATATATTGGTGTTTTATTTTTCATAAAATATTTCTAGTCTTATAGTAGTCTTATAATTTTTCTTACACTTTGACAGTACAGAGTATTTTGTGTAGTTCATTTACATTTTTTTTCAATTAAATCCATTTTAACCCCACTTTGTAACACAACCAAATGTGGGATTTTGTGAAGGCACTATATGTAATTAATTTATAAGTCCAAAAATGTATGTATCAATTAAGGAGTCTAACTTTAAGGACCATCTTACAAGTTAAAATCAGAAAAAATCTGTGCTCCCAAACCTTACATTGTAACTCAAGAGAAACATTGTTTTTGTTAACAATTGTTAAAGCACAATAATTAGAAAATCCAGACATGTTTGAGAGATTTCATGTAGAGGAGAATATCTATGAAAGAACTGTGTGTGTGTCTAGGTTCATTTCAATGAGTCTGAAATAATGTGCACAATTTGCTTCTGAGAGTACACAGGCAGTGCTGTACCTTTCAAGGGACAACAAAAGGACAAGGAAGTGATGATGAGGTGATTTGACTACCAAAGTAGTATTGCAGTTACTCTATGGAAACGCTACATGGCATACACTTTGATTAACTAAACACACACTTTTAAAGTAGAAAACAAATGTATAATCTAAGTCGAGGTAAAATATGTGATGGAGATTTAATTTCAACATGTCTTCATCTCTAAATCTATTGATACCCACATTGTCTATGATATAAATAATAGACATATATATACAGTTGAAGTCGGAAGTTTACATACACCTTAGCCAAATACATTTAAACTCTGTTTTTCCTTTCTTAGGTCAGTTAGGATCACCACTTTATTTTAAGAATGTGAAATGTCAGCCAGCTTTTATTTATTTTATCACATTCCCAGTGGGTCAGAAGTTTACAAATTACTCTGCCTTTAAATTGTTTAACTTGGGTTTCAGGTAGCCTTCCACAAGCTTCCCACAATTAGTTGGGTGAATTTTGGCCCATTCCTCCTGACAGAGCTGGTGTAATTGAGTCAGGTTGGAAGGCCTCCTTGTTCGCACATGCTTTTTCAGTTCTGCCCACACATTTTCTATAGGATTGAGGTCAGGGCTTTGTGATGGCCACTCCAATACCTTGACTTTGTTGTCCTTAAGCCATTTTGCCACAACTTTGGAAGTATGCTTGGGGTCATTGTCCATTTGGAAGACCCATTTGCGACCAAGCTTTAACTTCCTGACTGATGTCTTGAGATGTTGCTTTTTTATGGCGGTTTTGGAGCAGTGGCTTCTTCCTTGCTGAGCGGCCTTTCAGGTTATGTCGATATAGGACTCGTTTTACTGTGGATATAGATACTTTTGTACCTGTTTCCTCCAGCATCTTCACAAGGTCCTTTGCTGTTGTTCTGGGATTGATTTGCACTTTTCACACCAAAATATAGTCCCATGTAGCTTAGTTGGTAGAGCATGGCGTTTGCAACGCCAGGGTTGTGGGTTCGTTTCCCACGGGGGACCAGTATGAATTTATTTATTTATACTGGCCCCCAGTGGGAATCGAACCCACAACCCTGGCGTTGAGCTACATCCCTGCCGGCCATTCCCTCCCCTACCCTGGACAAATTGTGCGCCGCCCCATGGGTCTCCCGGTCGCGGCCAGCTACGACAGAGCCTGGATTCGAACCAGGATCTCTAGTGGCACAGATAGCACTGCGATGCAGTGCCTTAGACCACTGCGCCACTCGGGAGAATGTGCAGTAAATGTAAAGTAATTAATCTCTAAGAGACAGAACGCGTCTCCTTCCTGAGCAGTATGATGGCTGCGTGGTCCCATGGTGTTTATACTTGCGTACTATTGTTTGTACAGATGAGCGTGGTACCTTCAGGCGTTTGGAAATTGCTCCCAAGAATGAACCAGACTTGTGGAGGTCTACAATTTTTTCTCTGAGGTCTTAGCTGATTTATTTTGATTTTCCCATGATGTCAAGCAATGAGGCACTGAGTTTGAAGGTAGGCCTTGAAATACATTTACTGGTACACCTCCAATTTACTCAAATAATGTCAATTAGCCTATCAGAAGTTTCTAAAGCATGACATCATTTTCTGGAATTTTCCAAGCTGTTTAAAGGCACAGTCAACTTAGTGTATGTAAACTTCTGACCCACTGGAATTGTGATACAGTGAATTATAAGTGAAATAATCTGTCTGTAAACAATTGTTGGAAAAATTACTTGTGTCATGCACAAAGTAGATGTCCTTACCCACTTGCCAAAACAATAGTTTGTTAACAACAAATTTGTGGAGTGGTTGAAAAACAAGTTTTAATGACTCCAACCTAAGTGTATGTAAACTTCCAACTTCAACTGTATATATATATATATATATATATATATATATATATATATATATACAGTGGGGAAAAAAAGTATTTAGTCAGCCACCAATTGTGCAAGTTCTCCCACTTAAAAAGATGAGAGAGGCCTGTAATTTTCATCATAGGTACACGTCAACTATGACAGACAAAATGAGAAAAGACATTCCAGAAAATCACATTGTAGGATTTTTAATGAATTTATTTGCAAATTATGGTGGAAAATAAGTATTTGGTCAATAACAAAAAAGTTTCTCAATACTTTGTTATATACCCTTTGTTGGCAATGACACAGGTCAAACGTTTTCTGTAAGTCTTCACAAGGTTTTCACACACTGTTGCTTGTATTTTGGCCCATTCCTCCATGCAGATCTCCTCTAGAGCAGTGATGTTTTGGGGCTGTCGCTGGGCAACACGGATTTTCAACTCCCTCCAAAGATTTTCTATGGTGTTGAGATCTGGAGACTGGCTAGGCCACTCCAGGACCTTGAAATGCTTCTTACAAAGCCACTCCTTCGTTGCCCGGGCGGTGTGTTTGGGATCATTGTCATGCTGAAAGACCAAGCCACGTTTCATCTTCAATGCCCTTGCTGATGGAAGGAGGTTTTCACTCAAAATCTCACGATACATGGCCCCATTCATTCTTTCCTTTACACGGATCAGTCGTCCTGGTCCCTTTGCAGAAAAACAGCCCCAAAGCATGATGTTTCCAACCCCCTGCTTCACAGTAGGTATGGTGTTCTTTGGATGCA